TTCCTTTTCAGTCACAGTCAGGAGGAGTGTGGCCTCACTCCTAGTCAGCTAACAGTGTAGGCTTTGGTGAAAGGCTGAGCCTTTTGGGAAATCCAAGTAGATGACCACTGGCAGAAGACTACAGCAGCAAAACTGCCTGGGAAGTGCGAGTTTACCTCCATGTCTACGACAGCTCCTGGATGTGGGCAGAGCCTCCTCTGACCCTTTCGAAAGATGAATCCATCTCCATGGATTAACTTACTTAAGGAACTAACTTGTAGACTAAGAGAAAGGTAAAACTTAGTGGAGTAAACTCCAAGCAAACTGCTCATCTAAGCCTTCCTTCCTTCACAATCTAATGTTCACAGGGTAAGAAATTTTGGAAACTTGGAGGTGAAATCTATCTCATTAAGTCCTATTTCTTTAGTGTTACTGGGAACCAAAAAGTTTTGCCAAAATTTTTCTGCCAGAGAAAAAAGATCTTTTATAAATTCTTAGGGTTGGTTTCAAAAACTACTAACTGGGGATGAGCAGGTGGCGTGGTGATTAAGGCACTGAACTCACACATGGCTGACTATGATTCAATTCCCAGATTCAGTAGCTTGAAAAGCATTCTGGGCACATATGTGTGCATGCTCAAAATTCCAGAAGGATAACAGAAAAGGGATTGTGGCATGGCCATCCCCCTGCGCCCCTGGGAGTGGCTTCTCACTTTCCCTCTCACTGTCTCCTTCTCTGTCTCTTTCTGGCAAGTACACGTACACTATGACAAAAACCTTAATAAAATAATCAGGAAAAAAAACTATGCTGATTAGCGGATATGCTCAATTTATTACATGCCTACATCCAGGGCTTACATTGAAAAAGAATTGTTTCTCTTTCTGCACATTTTCTTGACAGAATGTGAATGGTGACAAATTGACAGTTGCAGTGGGCAACAGGTTACATAACCTCTTCAAACCTCAGCTTCCTTGTAAAAAGATAGGGGCATTAATGCTCATTGCCTGGGATGGCTGTGAAGATCAAATGATGTCATGTCTGTGAAAGTGCCTCACACGGGAATGGGCAGTGTAGTCATTTTAATAAATGGTAGTTTTATTTAATTTTATGTCATCTTAAGGGAAGGGCAGATTCAGAACTTGTTATTAAGAAAAAAGGAGACATAAACCATAAATTTGTGGTCTGCAATTTTTCCTTCACTTACGAAAAGCTGTTCACCAAAGCTGTATTTGCAGTTAAAACCGAGAGGGCAGAATGTGCTATTTCTCCCACCAAACCTCAAGTTATAGTAATCAGACACTTTGAAGTTTGGCTGTACAGGGTATTCCTGCTCTGGGTATTATGGTATGTACATATCCCATATTTACAATATAGAAATCAGGGATAAAACACAGAATTAAAGTCAATAGGAAATGAGGCTGATCAGATGTTTTAGGTTCTACAGACTACCAGGAAAGAAATCATCATTTATGAAGATGAGAAATATAGTCCTCACAATAAGAAAAAATACCAATAAATCAAAATTCTGTATAATAAAGTACATTTATGAAGAAGGCTTATGTGAAAACATTACATTTTCATCTACCTAAAATTATCTGAAATTTCATTTTCAGAATTATTTCCAATTTTTTTCATTTATTATTATTTATACATTCAATCACTATACATTATTTAGATTGTAAAGAGATTTTACCCAGTATGATGCACATCTCGGTCCAGTTGAGAATACTATACACATCCTCACCAACAGATAACAAACCATATCTGTGTCCCACAAATATCTTATCTTTCCTTATTTTTCCCCTAATTTCCTTTCCTGCACTCTTCCCCTCCCACACTCTCCTTCCACTTTATGTCTAGTGTCCACAATAATTTTTAATGCTTTTATGTCCTCCATTCTTTCAGTCTCTACCATAGAGTGCGGACAGTCAGTACATGTTGAGTGGAGACATACAATGTCTCTCGTTCATAGCCTGGCTTGCTTCACTCAGCAACAAATCTTCCATATTCATCCACTTTCTATTCAATTCATTTTTTAAAATAATAAAATAAGGTTACCGCTGCTTTGTTAACATTTTCCTTTGGTCAGTAACATAGCTAATCTTCAGGGAAAAAAAAGGAGGAGGCAGGGATTGACAACTGTAAAGCATGGCAATCCAACCGCAACAAAAACTACAACAGATCAGTCCCAGAAAGGACACTAAACTGGAACCCCCTGATAAAAATTGTTCTCTGCCTAAAGCCCCTAAGCGTACAGCTGGACAAGAACCCCACCGTGTAAGAAGCTGGAAGATCACTTCTCCCTGAAGGAGCAATGGGGTAGGAAGGCAGTCAGGCCACAGGGACTGCCAGAGCTCAGATTATAGCAAACCTCCAAAGTAATTCCCAAAGCTCTCCTCTGCAGTCCGAGCAGTGGCACATTCTTAGAGCCTATTTTTGTTGCTGAGTTCAGCATTAAACCATATCTGAGGAAGTTCAGACTGCCTAGGCTAAATAAACAAAGAGAAAAAAAATAAAAATTCCAATGGAGTTTCAACCATAACTAAATAAACTGTCTTGTTTCACCAAAAACTCATGCAAATATCTTAGTCCTTTCCCTACCCTTTAAAAAAGCTAAAGTTGGCCAACTTTCAAGAATTGTCATAGATTCAAAAATGTTAAAAAGCAATGATAGTAAAGCCCCCACTAGTTTTTTCTTATACACGTAAATATATAAATCAACTATGTAGTATTTTCATAAAAATTATCTATAGTCACACAGACTGTATTATATCTACATTGAAAAAATTAAGTGTTTAGTTGGCATACTTCCTAATTACCTCAGACCTGAAGTACAGAGCAGGGGTCTCCTGAGATTTTCATTATGTCATGAGGATTTTAAAAAAAAATCCTTAAACATTCTGTAGGGAGATATATAATTTTAAGAAGGATTTGATATCAACAAATTCATGCTTAAAAAGAAATACAGGATATTAGCAGTTGTGTGGTGGTTAAGGAGCTGATCTCCCAGAGGCAGACTTTGTGGTTTGTCTTAAACCCAGGAGCTTGAAAAAACACGACAGGCATGTGTGTATGCATGCTCAAAATCCCAAGAGGAAAATGGAAGGGAAGGGATTGCGGTGTGGCCATCCCCACCCCAGTGGTGATTTGCCACTTTCCCTCTTTCTCTATCTCTCTCCAGTGAGTGCACACACCCTATGGCAAAATTCTAACATACATAAATAATAAATAAATAAAATGTAGGGCCAATCTGTGGCCCATATCCCTTATGGTCAGCTGTGTCCTGGATCCCAGATGGCCAGCAGTGCGGTTCAAGTCCTAGATCATGAGGTAAGAGAAAGATGCTGGGTGTCTGTGTATACATGCCCAAAATCTCAGAGGGAGAAATGGAGAAGGAACTATAGCATCTCCATTCCCCATGAGGGTGCTTTCTCACTATCTCTCTCTTTCACTGTCTCTCTCTGGTGAGCACACACACACTTTGGCAAGTTAAAAAGAAGAAGGAAGGGAGGAAAGAAAAAAAGAAAGAGAGAGAGAGAAGAAGAAGAGAGAGAGAGGAAGAAAGGAAAGAAGGAAGGAAAGAAGGAAGGAAGGAAGGAAGGAAAGAGAGGAAGGGAGGGAGGAAGGAATAAAGAAAGAAAAGGAAATACCATCAAATCAAATTTAATAACACATTTGTTTTAAGAATAAAATAACCTTTCTTATTAGTTCCAGAAATAGTACTCATTCTGTTGTTTCTACTTAGACAGCTTTTTTTCCTACTAACATCTAGTTGAGGTGTCTAAAAGACTTAGAACTGACTCCTCTGGGTATTCTTTCTCAAGACACCACACAGAGAAAAACCAAACCAGTCACAGACAGAAGAAACTCTGAGACAAGCAGTTATTTGTTTCCTGAGCTAACCCACTTCCTTTTTCACACGTTTCCTTCTCTTCACCACTGTGTTTTTTGAAATTAGCATCAAATTCTTGCAAAATAGATTTCTGGGCCTCAGGGTGGGAATCCAGGCAAATTCCAAGTCATGTCATTTTTAATGTAATCAGTGAGTAACAAAATGAGAGTCACAAATGAAGTATCATGTCACTACTACAGAAAACGCCCTGCAGTGTTTAATGATACTCCAGCCAAGGAATCTGAATCTTTTTTTTTTTTTTTGAAAGGTTTTTGCTATAGGGCGCAGGCGCTCGCCAGACAGACAAAGACAGAGAGACAGAAAGCGAGAAATCACCCCCCAGGGGGGATGGCAACGCCACAATCCCTTCTCCTCCGTTCTCCTCTTGGGATCCTGGGCACACATGCACATGCGCCGGTGTGAGTTTTAAGCCACCAGGTCCGGGACGCGAACCGCGGTCAACTACATGCAAGTCCAGTGACATAGCCATTACACTAACTGCTGGTCCCAGGAATCTGAATCTTTATGATCCATGCTTTGAGAAAACAAATGTTATCAAAATGAAAACTAAACACAGAAAAATTCCACGACTCTTGACTACTCATTGTGGAAAACTATGGTATCTTCCCCAAGGAGATCAATTTCTCAACCTTTCAAACCAAAGGCAAACTATAACCAGTTACTGGGTTTCTTCACTCTATACTTGTAAAGATAAAACTAGAAGTCTCATAACTAGAAAATTATATATTTTATTAGGCATATATCCTCAATGATGACTGGCTTAACTTTAATCACAGAGACACAAGAAGCTGAATAGAAATGTGGCTATCATAATTCTTCTGTGATAAGAAATATAAAATATAATTTTGAAAAATACAATTAGTTCTTAAGTAAATATAAAAATCTTCATTTATCTATAAACAATGAGTGATATCAAAAAAAAAACAGACAAAAGGAGTAAAGTCTTTTAAAATGTTTATTTCTGTCAGGACAGCTGACGATTTTCTGTAAATATTTTGGTTTATTATAATAAGCAATTCCCCCGACATGAAAAATCCACTCAAAATATCTCTATTTTTGAGGTAATCTCAAAAAAAAAAAAAAAAAAAAACCCTGACTTTTTTAAAGAAAAAAATTCTTTTTTAAAATTCCTTTAATGTGATAAATAGAAACAATCTTATTCTATTCTGGTGAACATAAAGATATTTTATACAGCAAAGTATCCAGTCACTCATTGGCAAACGGAAAGTGAGAAGTATGCATTTACAAGTTCTGCTCAGACACAGTGCAACACACTGCCACATTCATATATATTCTTTTTTTCTTTCTTTTTCTTTCTTTCTTTCTTTCTTTTTTTTTTTAAAACAGTTACCAACACTCTTCTGGCAAAGACAAGGTTTTGCAATGGCAAAAGCAACAGAAGTTTTAGATCTCAAGGCTCCAGAAGGGAATTAATCTGAGTCTTCATCATCAAGATAGTCCTCAGCATTGCTTAATGTTCGCACTGCATCTAAAAAGAATAGGGGGGAAGAAACAAAACAGGGAAATTACAGATGGCTCAGATTTTTGTTTCCACTTTCAAAGCTCTTGACAATTCAACAGATTATAATCTCTTTGACCCAGGGACCATACTTTTCCTGAAGATCTTTTTCTACCTTTGCTTTTCAATGTTAACTGTTAAGTTTCTGCTACTACAGAAGCTGACGATTCCACATGTCTGCATATTCCTTAGACGTATGTAAAAGAGCACACAGTGTTCAGGTAACATTCATCTATTCCAACAGAAAGCATGGACCGCATGCACCACGACCAAGCTGGAACACACCGGCAGCCACCCAGCTCGGACGCCTGTTTCCACACTCCTCTCCCAGAGACAAATGCACACATGGCTGCAGTCAGTCCACAGACTAAGGCCTTACCTGAAGGCAAGGTCACTGTGTAGAAAGATAACTAATGAGGGAAAGAAAGGAAAAGAAAGAGAATGAAAACACAGACCTTCAATTTCATTTTAGAAAATACTAAAAGGATACTCAGGAGGAAAAGACCAAAATGGGGGGGGGGGGGTTTTAAAAAAGAAAGAACTGGACCATCAAATGTAAATCAACATTGATCAGGACTCAAAAAGAAGACGTCTGATCTTTAACTGTCCACATCAGCTGTCTAGTCAAAGTTCTTATGGCAACAGATTATCCTACATAGAATTTTAGGGTGAAAAATCGAAGATGAGCACAGGTATATTGTTAGAGTCCAATAAATACATGTGGTTAACATCAGGATCATAGTCTCTAAACGTCATATCCCCAAGACTGCAATTTGGAGATATGACTGACTCCAAGTCTGGGGCAGGAAATCTAAAGGACAGACCTAAAACCCTCGTCACATGGTAAAGCAGGAATCCTATCAAATTAGCATCATGTGAAAAGGGCGTAGGGTCCAGCTTACAAGGGCCTCCACTACACAGACAGACTAGCAATCAAGCTATAATAATAATAGATGAAAGCATATCAAATATTTCAGCATACATTAAAATAACCCAGTAAGGTCCTTTAGGTAAATGATAGACAATCAGTCCATTATTTTGAAAACTATTAAATAAAGGGCAAAATCAAACATTTATCCCACTCCTGCTATATAGATCATTCTTCTGGGTAACCAAGCAATTGATGAAAGAAAGTTTTTCTTTATGGAATAGTAGATCAGCTAACAACTGAGGAAAGGCTGATTAAATTAGAATGTCTCCATTTTGCACCACATATAGATAATGATCACCAATGGATGTCAACAGCACAGGAAGAGTGACAACCAGATATGAAGGTGCCTCTGACAAAAGAATATGATATTCTGTATGATATATTCTACTCCACCTCTACAAAAGACAGATGACGAACAGATAGGTCCTAAATTGGTCCAAACCTCTAGATCTAACAGCCACTAAGCAAAACATAGTGATCCCAACCTTCAGGCACCAGGGACTGGCCTTGTGGAAGATAATTCCTCCACAGACGGAGGCAGAGAGTGGACGGTTTTTGTGCACATAAAATTGAGTTGAAGTTTATTGTGCCTTTTTTTCTTTATCCAAATTTTGAGTTAAAGCTTCATATGGTAACTGCATCCTGTTCAGACACTATGGTCTAAATTTTTGAAACTGCGTGGTGTTCACTAATAGTAAGAATAACAAGGTCAAAGCTAATTAAGGTCACAAACTTCGGTGAAACCCTTGAAGTCCAAATCTTCTTATATTGTAAATTGTACCCCTTCCAGTTTTGTTTCTTCTGGACTCTCCATACTTAACTGACAGTTACCTTTTTAAAACTTTGCACACATTAAGATTAAAATTGGGCCTCTACTGTGAAGATTCCTATTCCTCTTGTGTTTTAAGTGCAAACTAACATTTAAATGAACATTAGTATCAAGTAGTGCGGACATACGAATGCATTTGCTTGATTCAATTTGCTGTGACCTTACCAGTTTTGAATTGGAATTGCACCATTTCATAGATAGTGGAAACTAAGTATATTGCTGCACTTTTACGTTTTCAAAACAGTGTTTAAAAATTGCATTTTTTTAAACTGAGTTCTAAAAGACTAAAACGTTCTTTCAAAAGAGGCATCTAAATGTGTTTTGGTTTTTTTTAACCAAAAAAAAAAAAAGCTGCAATAAAAAAAAAAAAAAGAGTGGACGGTTTTTGGTCCAGGGATGACCGAAGAGCACCACATCCACCATGTGCCCTACTTCCACCACTCCCACATTGCAATATACAGTGAAACAATCACACGACAAGAGGGTTCATGCTCCCATGAGCATCCAATCCCATCCTGAACCCACAGGAGGAGCCCAGGCCGCAATTCAAGTAATGGAAGGTGGGCAAAGGGAGCGGCCTCCAGGCCACAGACCAGCACCGGTTGGGGACCCCTGATTAAAGGACAGCATTGTTGAGACAGGGAGGTAGTATTGGAATGCAATGAGCAATCCCCAAAGTAGAAAATTCAAGTCAGTTGAATCCATTTCTTTAATAAATATATTGCAGAGTTAAAAAAGGGGTAGAGGAGAAAAATAAACAGTGATTAAAAAAATAAACTAAGAAACCTATTTCCAATCACAAACTGAGCTTATGTGGACCTTGATCTAAATAAACTATAAGTAAATAAATAGATAAATAAGTAAACAAAGAATAAAAATTTATCAAAAATGGCAAATTTAGGCAATGGCAAGATACTCAACACTAAGGAGGTAGAACCAATTTATCTTCTATAAGAGAGAAAAGGAAAGATCAAGAAAAGTCAAGTGAATGCACAACAGAACAGAGGCAAGCTTCAGAAAAGAAAAACAAAACAAAACAAAACAAAACAAAACAAAAAACCAACTCTCTAAGCTAAAGACAAATAGCCAAACTCTTCCTCCTGTTTTGTTATTACAACCTTATCTATTGCCTATTTCAGCTATTCTGTGTCCTTCAATGGTTACTTTGGCTATTTTAATCTTGTTTCTCCTATTAAGAAGAGAAAGAAGACTTTGCATGGGACAAACTACAGCTCATTGCAAATCAACAGCTAGGCACGAGCCAGGCAAATACATTTCTCTCCTTCCTTCCTTTTATGGAGGCAGTTTTCTCTGGAAACTTCCCAGGTGGTCAGATGCTGAGTGAGGAGCTGTATCTCTTTCTAGTACATCCCAGGGCATGGCCAGCAAAAATGGTCAATAACGGGTTGTCCAAAAAGTCATGTTGTATTTTTCTGCTTTTCTATGCAAAAATGTGTCCGGACTTTTCCAACAACCTAAAAGATAGGCCATATCTATCTTGAATTCATTTTTCCTCAATCCCACTATCCTGGGTTCACACAACCCACAAAAAGCATCAGCACTTAAACATACACACAAATAACAAATAATTGGTGGAGAAATGAACAGAATCACATGGATGAATCTCATAGACCAATGTAAGTGAAAGAAGTTAGACACACGAAAATACATAGTGTTTGATTACATTTATTTATATTTAGTTATAGACGGGCAACTAATCTATGATGAGAGAAGCAGAAGATACTGAAGGACGCTTCTGAAGTGGGGAAATGTTCTCTAGTTTGATCTAGATTGTGGTAGACAGCTGTAAGCAGGCTAAAACAAAACTCATCAATCTGGGTCAGCCCTATAACACAGTACCGTGCAAAGGCTGAATCCCACATGGCCACGCAGGGTTCAATTCCCAGCCCTGGCAGCTTGCAAAACACATCAGTCATACACACACATGTTCGGCATGCTGAAGGAATGGAGAATTTGGGTAAAAGAACTGCAGTGGGACATGGCCCCCTTAGGGGGGAGTGGTGCTTTCTCTCTCCCTTTCTCCCTTATGCATGCACATCCCTTCTGATATGAAAAGAAAGAAAGAAGGAAGGAAAAAAAAAAGAAAAAAAAAGTGTCAATCTGTAAACTTAAGATTTATCCACTTTATACAATGAAAATTATATCTCAACTTGTAAAACTTAGAAAAAAATATATTTAAAGGGCTCAACTCTCAAGTATGGCCCTGACTCCACCTCCATATCCCAAAGTTATCCTGTATAGTAACTGCAACATGTCAATTATTTTGTCCCTATAAAAAAAATCCAAGCTACATTTTTTTATAGCAGACAACAATATCAGAATATGCCTTTTCCAGTTTAGAGTTCATGCTGGCAATTAATTATTACCATGAAAAATGAAATAGGGGGACGAGCAGTTAGCATAATGGCTATGTCGCTGGACTCCCACATAGTCGACCGCGGTTTGCGTCCCAGACCCGGTGGTTTAAAACTCACGCCAGGCGTGTGTGTGTGTGTGCCCAAGATCCCGAGAGGAGAATGGAGGAGAAGGGATTGCGGCGTGGCCATTCCCCCTGGGGGGTGATTTCTCACTTTCTGCCTCTCTGTTTCTCTGTCTGTCTGGTGAGCGCACGTGCCCTATAGCAAAAAAAAAAACTCTCAAAAAAAAAAAAGAAAGAAAGAAATAGGAAAAGTCACTTCTTGGCTCCATCCGCCAGGCCCAAGATGACCTCGCTGGTGAATCCATTATCTATCAGTATGAGAGTAGGAAAGGTAGACTTAAGACACTTGGAGTGAACATAGAAGAGCACCCACCTCTCAGTCCTATTCTACAAAGGCTACAAAAAGGTGAGGGGGACAAAAGTGAAGAGTCCACCACCTGCTTCCCCCAGCTCCAGTGGGTCACAGGTAGGTTTCTGGGTGCAGCTCTCTGGGGTCTCAGGAGGTTTGGCATTTCCCTTGGTTATCACAGTCAAGGTCACCATACGTATGTGATTCTGATAACCAACAGGAAGTCAATGGCAGACAGGAAGTTAGGCCACAGTCCTACTTCCTGACCCAGCCAAGTCAGCAAGGAGTAGGAGCTCAACCTCAAGCAAAAGTGTCTCTCCCACGTGGCTGCAGATAGCACTTCTCGATTAGAATGTGGCCGGGAGCAGCAGCTCAGATAGAAAGTATGTCTCCTTCCTCTCCATCTATCCACGAGTAATTACTTTAAAGAAAATTTGCTCTGCCAGTGAATATTCACCTAAATATCTGAAGCTTAAAAAAAAAAAAAATTAAAATTGAGACAAAGGGACCAGCAGATGGCATAATGGTTACATAGCTGGACTCCCACACAGTTGACTGTGGTTTGCATCTTGGACCTAGTGGTTTAAAACTCACACCAAGAACATGTGAGTAACTGCCCAAAATCCCAAGAGGACAATGGAGGAGAAGGGATTGCAGTGTGGTCATCCCCCCTAGGGGGGTGATTTCTCGCTTTCTGTCTCTTTGTCTCTCTCTGGACAGCACATACACCCTACAGCAAAAATCTTTAAAAAATGTAAATAAACAAATAAATAAAATTTAAGACAAAGACATATGAAGGACAAAGGAAATAGTATGATGAGGATTTTATGATAGGTGAGTAGGAGAGCTCTGGGAAACTCTTAAACCATGAAGAAAGGGGAACTGTTCACCACTTTTGATTTATTAAAACAGCAGACGAGGGGATCGACTTTATTTTGTTGCTTCTGCTAGGAATAGTATGAGACAGTAAAACATTGCCTCTTCTCATAAAACTAGGGATACGTGAAGGAAAAAATAGTTTTCCAAGAGTTCAAAAATTAATGGCAATTTAATTAAATTTATAAGAACATAAAAAGCAATCAGTATTTCAATACCCACAGTAAGCACTGTGAAAGAGAGAATACCCTCAACTTAAGGAAACAAATATACTTAGCCTCCATAATAGAAATCTGTTTTCTCAAAAGTCATTTTGGTGATTCTCTCTGCCAACATGGATCAATTAAACTTTACACTGAAGCAATACTGAAAGATTTGGAATGCCAACTTGCAAAATCTGAGTCCTTTATTATAATAGTTTCTTTCTAGAAAATGGCGAAAAAAGATTGTATCAATGTTTGCTTATACTTAAAATGGTATCAAAGAGCCCCTCCACACGAACCTTCTTTCATGTTTCTTTTTTCTAGCTCTCTGGATTTGATATGAGCTAGAAGGCTAATAACGAATGAGAAGGAGAAAAAGGAGGGGCAGATAGGAGGAAGAGTTTAAGGCACATCCTCTCAGCATTTCTTTCAGGAATTATCATATTAGAATGAACCTCGGGGGACAGGTCAGTCTCATGGTCTCATGATTAAGGGAGTCAAATCCAATATGGCTGACCATGGTTAGAATCCCAGCTCCATCAGCCTGGAAAACAAGCTGGGCATGGATATGTACACGTGACAGGATGCAGAAATGAAGAAAGGATTGCAGCAATGATCACACCCCATTAGTAAGTGCTTTCTCCCTCTCTCTTTCTGTCTGTGGTAAGCACAGTCACCTTCTTGCAATTTAGACTTTTTTTTTTTTTTTAAGATTTTTACCATAGGGCATGTGTGCTCACTGGAGTCAGACAGAGAGAGGGAAAGTAAGAAATCACCCCCCAGGAGCGATGGCCACACCACAATCCCTTCTCCTCCTGGGATTTTACACATGTACACACACATGGCGCCCAGCATGGTTTTCAAGTTGTCAGGTCTGGAACTTGAATGATGGTCAGTCATGTGGGAGTCCAGTTCCTTAACCACTACCCCACCTACTGGCTCTCCTCTGGCAATTAAAAAAATACGGAATCATTCTAGGGAGCAGCGCACTCAATAGGCTACAAAAAGAGAGGTCAAATAAACAGCAACTTTCTGAATAATAATGAAGAGCAATGCAAATGTGTTGAACCATTTTTTTTCCAAAACAATCACACAAGCTTACTTTTTTTTCAGACATATTCTCTCACACAAACAGATAATTTTGTAATGAAGAATGAATACCTAAACTCTGCTTATAAAATCCACCCATAGTACAATGAATAAATTTCAAAATGTTTAGCAAACTCTAGAATAATAATCTATGTTATTGACACTTTATTTTAAAGTAAAACAAAATATAATCATGGAGTTACTGAAAGTTTAATTTTTAAAAATTTAGTGTTAATCACTCATAAATATCTGAAATGAGACAACGGAGACCACAGTTCTTTGAAAAGGACTATAATGCAAACCAAGGTGATGGGGACTGGACTGTAAAGAACAAATGAAATACAAAAAAGAATAGGAAGGGGCCAGTGGATGGCGTAGGGATTAAGATACTAGACTTACACATGGTCAACCACAGTTCAAGTCCTGGACCGGCAGCTTGAAACTCACACTAGGCCTGTGTGCATATGTGACCAAAACCCCAGGAGTAGAAAGGATTATGGTGTGGCCATCCCCTGGTGGTGGTGGGGGGTGAATTCTCATTTTCTCTCTCTCTGTCTCCATCTGTCTCTCCAATAAAAACATGTGATCTCAAGCAAAAATCTGTCTCTTAAATAAATAAATAAATAAATAAATAGATAAATAAATAAATAAAACACTGTCTCTTCAAATTTCTGTGTGACTAATGCTATTCTAATATGTTGGAGGTGCTGATTTACATCAGGAATACATTATCTAACTTCAGAATCATCTAAAGACTTGATGGAGAAAAGAATACTTCCCAGTACTAAGTTGGTTAGTCATGAGGAGGCCAGAGGAGAAAGAAGGATTTAAGATAAGTACCTGTTCCCTGTTTCTTTTTCAGGAGAGATGCGCAGGCAGCATTCGTAGCCATGTCGAAGGCCAGCTTCTTCTCGTTGTTTCTTAAGTCTGTTCTAGCACCTTCCCAGCACAAGAAAAGTAAATGAGTCTCTTGAAGACCACCTATTACAACAGCAGCCTAGCCTCTTCCTAACAACACAAATCACTTTTGGCAAGACCAATTCTGGCCCAAAAGCAAACATCCTACACGTATTAAAACTTTCTTAAAACAGTATATTTGGCATCTTTATTCAGGGAGCTTGTCCCTGTACCTGTGATAATTATGCTTAGCTGAAATACAGCCTTTCTCCTTGAGTCCCTGTAGAATTGCATATGAACCTTGCAGTGAAGAGTTTACCATCCTTGCAGCAAATCCTAAATCATCCTTGGACCCAGGGTAGACATGAGCCTCTGCATGAACTTTGGAGCTTAAATTCACATGCCCTTTGCAAAGACCAAGTGGGTGGAGCTTCAGGGGGTTGATATCATATGCAAATTAGCAGAACAGCCACATGAGAAGACCCAGAGGCAAATCACTATTCCTGTAAACCATCTTCTGTCTACTTCTTTCTTTACCTTTATTCTGCTCAACATTGCATCAGAATCCACAAAAATATTTGCATTGTTAAAGGATTCAAAAATACAGAAGAATGTGAACAAGATTTTAAGTCTCATTTCAGCTATCATCTTCTACCCTACCCAGAGGTAAAACCATTCTTAACAAATGAGTGTGAGTTCTTGTCTATTCCACAACATTTCATTTACAGACATATATGTACAAACACACAAAATCATACTACATGTATTTGTCTGTAATATCTGTGTTTTAGCTTAATAATATGTAACGGTACTCTTTTCTTAGTAGTACACATACTTATATCTCAACCTATTTAAATGTCTAGAAGTATTCCATTTTATAAATGTTCCAAAACTTTATTGAATTGCTATTCCAGCGATTTTCATGATCACGAATACTGTAATGAATATCCTTGAACATCTTTGTTCATGTGAATTTCTAAAGAATGGTTTTCTACAGGTGGTGCTGAAAAGTTAAGCTATATACATTTTATTTATTTATTTATTTATTTATTTATTTATTTAAGATTATTGCCATATGGCTTATGTACTCACTGGCAAGAGACAGAAGTAGAGTGAAAGAAAATGAAAAATCACCCCCCTAGGGGGGGATAGCCACACTGCAATCCCTTCTCCTCCGTTCTTCCCCTGGGATGTTGGGCATGCATGCAAAATGCCCGATGCAGTTTCAAGCCTCCAAGACTTGAATCAGGTCAGCTGTGTGGAAATCCAGCACCTTTACCACCACACCACCTGCTAGCCTCAGGCTTCATACATTTATAATTCTGCTGCTACAGTCAGATTGCTTTTCAGTAAACAAAAATGTAAGCATCCCCAAAATTTACAGGCATAAAGATTGTGAGTCAAGGAAAAAATAGTATGTTTAATTAGAAATACAGTGATCTTATATCAAAATCTCTTTCTTGGAGGACCAGCAGATGGCAAAAAGGTTAAGTTGCTGGACTCCCATGTAGTCAACTGCAGTTCGAATCTCGGACCTGGTAGCTTAAAACTCAAGCCAGGCACGTGTATGTGTGTACCCAAGATCCCAAGATGAATATGGAGGAGGAGGGACCGCAGTATGACCATCCCACTAGGGAATGATTTCTTGTTTTCTATCTCTCTGGCAAGTGCACGTGCCTTATAGTAAAAATCTCTCTCTCTCTCAAAAAAAATCTTTCCCCTAAGCAGATCTATATCTATTCATGAGTAGAGTTATATGAAAAACTTCACTATCTCAGTGTGCTCTGAGTCAAAAAACTCCCAAGGGCTGATCGTCCTGTAACTATCCATATCTTATATTAAACTATACTTTAGAACTTATAAATCCAATTTCTCTCAAGACAGGAAATATTCTAAAAATATTTAGAGAAGAAACATAACTGTTTCCTGTAGCCCTCTTGACCAGCACTGCCCAACATAAACAGTGCAAGTCACAAATGTCATGAAAGTAAATTTTAATAATATAGTTTATTGGAGCTAACAGGTGGTATTGTGGTTACAGCACTGGACTCTCATGTGGCCGACTGTAGTTTGAGTCCTGGACCCAACAGCTTGAAAATCATGCTGGGCACATGTGTTTGAATGCCAAAAAATCCCAGGAGGAAAATGGAGAAGGTATTGTGTATGGCCCTCCCTTCTATAGAGTGATTCCTCACTTTTCCTCTCACTCTCTCTCTGTTTCTCTCCAATGAGCACATGTACTCTATGGCAAAAACATTAAAAATGATGACAATAATAACAATTTATTTTAATCAGTATTTCCAAAATGCTATCATTACACACATAATCAATACAAAAATTACTGTAATATTTTACCTTTTTTACACTTAGTCTTTGAAATCTAGTGTGCATTTTACACTTACATTTCATTTCCACCAACCTCATTTCAAGAGCTCAGTAGTACGTGTGGCTAGTGGCTGCACTATTGGAGAACGTAGCTGTTAACATAACCTTTAGGGGTGCTGCAGTGGTCCTCACAGTGTCTGACCTAGACCTGGGCCTTATGTCATCAACACACTTAAAATCAAAAACACATATCTCACATAGAATTACAGTATTCCTCAGAGGATCTTCAATGGCAGCCATTCATGATGTTTGGCTTGAGGAGTCAAACATCATCTTCTAGACTAGAGTATGGTACAGGGTGATAGGCCTCACCCTCTGTAAAGGTTAATATTTATGGGGCAAATAGATTGATGCTTGGTCCATAATCTCACTGATCTCTCTGACTTGGGTAAAAATAGATGATTAAGGTATCCTCTTTCTCTATGCATGCAATTCCTACTCTGTCAATGCAATACATTGCACCCACAGAGTTCTTTCTTATCTATCAAGATTTTCCCATGAGAACAAGCAGCTCAGCAACTTTATGGCTACAGCTTTCTCAGCAGGATCTCCCCTCTGTGTGCATGCACACTCATGCACACACATGCACACACACACGTACGCACACAGACATACGCACGCACACACACCTTCTGTTATTTACTTTCTGCAGAACTATACAGTAAGTTCTTACTAAAAGAGTTGAACATATGTACAGTCACACTGCATAACAATGCATGGTCAACAACAGTGTATGCGACAGTGGTCCCCCAAGATTCTAACAGGCTCTAGCAGATAGCCTAAGTGTATAGTAGGTTATGCACTACCAAGGTTTGTGTAAATACACTCTAGGATGTTTGCACAATGATGTAATCACCTAATGATGCAATTCTTTGAATGTATCTCCATCATTAAATGAATACATGACTATAATTTTAAAGCTTGCCAAGGTTTTAATGTATAATAAAAGCTAACATCAATCAACCCCAATAATTCCATCTTATCATAACAACTCTGATATGGACAGAACAGAGTGGAAATCCCAGTTTTAAAGTAAGAAGACTATTATTCTTCCTATTACTTAAAATGATATCATTTGATGTCATCTGCTTTTCATTTTTTGTTTGTTTTTTGTTTTGTTTTAGAGAGATTTTTTTATAGGGTGCATGCACTTGCCAGAGAGATAGAGAGACAGAGAGTGAGAAATCACCCCCCCAAGGGGGATGACCACATTGTAATCCTTCTCCTCCATTCTCCTCTTGGGATTTTGGGTGGGCAAACAGGCACTGGGCCTGATGTGAGTTTTAAGCCACAGGATCCGGGACTCAAACCGCAGTTGACTACATGGGAGTACAACGATGTAACCATTACACCATCTGCTGGTCCCCCAATGTCATCTGCTTTTCAAGGTAAGCACACACAAGATAAACTCAGCATGAACTTTACCTTTCGCCAGAAGCAACTGGACAATGTCTGCGTAACCCTTCCAGGCAGCGGCATGTAAAGCTGTGTCTCCCAATTTGTTCTACGGGTGATAAAAAGGGAAAGTAGTATTTTCAAAATAGAGAATGGATTGAAAGCACACTCCAATTTAGGTGTAGTCAAATTAAGCAAAAATGAGAACAGAGAATCATAAAAACTCCAAAGAGAACAGGAACGAAGATTCAAGAAACAAGAGGTGAGTCATTTTGGGGAGATGAAATGGGGTGTAGGAGTAGAAACTGTCTTGGCAGAGGATGAGCTGGGATGCGGATGCCCGAGGAGATGGAGACATCTGAGGGAAGCAAGCAGACTAGAGACTGGAGATTCCTGGGGACACTAAGCACAATTAGCCACATGTGGGTAAAAGCAGGAGTTCCGGGTCAAAGAACTCACGGGAACTAACTGCAACTCCAGAGTACCTACACCTCCCCTTGCTACTAGACGACCCAGTAAGGATAGCTGAGTACCTTCTTGAGAAATGAACCGAATAGTTTCCAAGTTCATGGACACTAGGCTTAGGAGAAGATGGTGATAAGGTCAGAAACTAAAATCTGAGGGTTACGTGAAAAACCTATAAAGTTCATAGTAAAATACCCCACTGAGCTACCTTTACTTACCCCACTGCTCCCATGCATGCAGTCAAGTGGATACTCCCAGCTAAAAGACTACAAGAGTCTCCTCTGGTGAAAAAGAACAGACCCTCAGAGGGGAAAAGGAGGGAGTGTACTTATCTCAGTTGGATGTTAGTCAACAAAATAGCCAGGACTTCCCCAGCTCAACCTCTGGAGAAATTCACTAGCCAGCATGTCCCACCAAGCACATACGACTTCTAATTAGACTTTAAAATAAATGGATAGAGCCAACCCTGTGGCTTAGTGATTAAGGGAGTTGGAACCTCATGGCTGGCCATGCAATTCAAAGCCTAGACTCAGTGGCTTAAAAAGCCTACCATGCACTTGTGCATGTGTGCTCAAAATTCAACATGAGAGAGGAATGGAGAAGTGATTGTGGTAGGACTATAGACCATGGAAGGGATACTTTCTCTTCCTCTCTCTCTCTGTCTCTCCAGTGAGTACATGCACCCTCTGGCAAATTTTAAAAAATAATAAATAAATGGATAGACAAAGATACTAGGCATTTGAAGAAAACCTCAAAAAACAAAATAAATGGATGGGACCAGCAGATGGCATAATGGTCATGTCACTGGATTCCCACGAAGTTGACCATAGTTCTAGTCCCAGACTCAGCAGCTTAAAACTCATGCTAGGCACATGGAGGGAAAGGTATTGCAGCGTGACCACCCCCCTGGGGGAGTGACCTCTTGCTTTCTGTCTCTCTGTCTCTGTCTGGCTGGCAAGCATATGCACCCTATAGCAAAAATCTCTCTCTCAAAAAATAAATAAATAAGTGGATCTCAAAGAGAAAATACATAGTAAATAGCAGAAAATAGGGGTTTTAAAGCTATAATTAATATAGCAGAGAGATGCAAGATGATATTGGATCAAGAAACCAAAAAAAAGAAGCTATTTAAAACTAACCATAAGAGCTAATGATAAGCAGAATTCTAAGAGGGCCCACAAGACCCCTACCTGCCAGTATAGACCTCTTACATAATTCCTTCTCTTAGAATGTGAGTGAGGTCTGTCAGTATAACAGGCTAATATTTCTATGATTATGTTTCTAGTCTACTTATGCTTAATTCATCAAAAAGGAGATTATTTTTTGGTGGGCATGACCTAATCAGGTAGACCCTTAAAAATACAGATGAAGGGGCCGAGAGAAAGTCTCCTGCTGGTTTTGAGAAAGTAAACAAGCAATCATGTTGTGAATGATCCTATAAAACCTGAGGACCTCAGTACTACATTTGCAAGAAACTTATTTCTTCCAACAACCTGAAAGAGCTTGGAAGAGGACCCCAAGTTCCAGCCGACACTTTGGTTGCAGCCAAAGAGACCCTGAGCAGAGGGACCAGCAGTTAGTATAATGACTATGTCGCTGGACTCCCATGCAGTCGGCCGTGTCAAGTCCCAGATCCGGTGGCTTAAACTCACGCCAGGTGCGTGTACATGCGTGCCCAAGATCCCGAGAGGAGAATGGAGGAAAAGGGATTGTGGCGTGGCCATCCCCCTGGGGGGTGATTTCTCGCTTTCTGTCTCTCTGTCTCTTTCTTTCTGGCGAGCACACATGCCCTATAGCAAAAACCTCTCAAAAAAAAAAAAAAAAAAGACCCTGAGCAGAGACTCTAAGTATGCCATGACCAATATTCTGACCTACACAAACTATAAGCAGCTAAACAGGTGGTAATTTGCTACACATCAACAGAAAACTAATATAGAGCTCTAGGGCATTAAAAAGATAACCACAACAAAAGATCAAAGAAAGAAAATCTCTGAGAAATACTAAGATTACTGGAAATTCAATCCAAGAGGTACAACATCCCACTTTGTTGTTCCAGAAGCAATACAACAAAGGAAATGATCTGATTAAAAACTACTAAAGAAATAATACTAGGAAAATCTCTCAAGATGGGAGTTCTTCATAGTAATTGTGACAAGACAAACATGAAGATTGTGGTGAAAAGGAAACTCTCCTATACTGTGAGAATGTAAACTAGTACAGCCACTGTGGAGACTAATATGGAGAGTCCTCAAAGACCTACAAATAGAACCACCACATGATCCAGCGATTCCACTCCTGGGTATCTACCCAAAGAATAGGAAAAAGCTCAGTCAAAAAAGTGCTTGCACATTCATGTTTATTGTGGCATTATTTTCAACTTCTGAGACATGGAAGCATGGACCAGCAGTTAGCATAATGGCTATGTCGCTGGACTCCCACGCAGTCAACCACGGTTCGTGTCCCAGACCCGGTGGCTTAAAACTCACGCCGGGCGAGTGTGCGTGCGTGCCCAAGATCCCAAGAGGAGTACAGAGGAGAAGGGACTGCGGCAAGGCCATCCCCCCTGGAGGGTGATTTCTTGCTTTCTGTCTCTCTGTCTCTCTCTGTCTGGCGAGCGCAAAAAAAACCCCCCAAAAAAAAAAAAAAAAAAAAAGACATGGAAGCAACCCAAAAGTCCACAAGCAGATGAATGGATTGAAAATTTATGGCACATATACACTATGAAATACTACTGAGCCATAAAAAAACAAGACCCTGGGATTTGATAGAAAGTAGACAAATGTGGAAGATTTACTACTGAATGAAGCAAGCCAGACTATAAAGGAGAGACATTGTATGTCCCCACTTAATATATACCAACTGTCCACACGCTATGGCAGAAACTGAAAGATTGGAGGATACAGAACCATGGAGAACGTTGCAGATACTGGAGACAGTGTGTGAGGAGATTGGGAGGCAAGGGAGGGTGAGAAGAAGGGATTCAAGGAGAAAAATTGCAAGACAAGACATTTAAGGAACACAGCAATAGAAGATTGTTGATGATAACATGTCTGATAATATCTTTAACAGGACTTGTGTGTAGTGTTTTTATGCTGGGAAAATTATTTCTACAAGATGTGGTGATGTACAGTGATTGAATGTATAATATAAAAAAGGGAAAAAATTAATTTAAAGAAAGACACATAGGAAAGCACATCATTATAAAAGGCGGCTAGATCTCACATGGTCAACAGTGTAATTCCAAGTCCTGAACCCAGGAGCTTTAAAAACACACCAGGCACAGGCACCTGCATACCCAAAATTCTGAAAAGAGGAAGAAATGAAGGAAAAGGGATTGTACAGTGACCATTCCCATGAGGGGGAAAAGGTGCTTTCTCAATTTCCCTCTCTTACTCTT